CAGCTTGTTCCCTTCCCCCATTCGCTCCATTCCCCTCCCCCACTCTCTATCCGGCTTGCCTCCCCTCCCCCCCATTCTTCCCTCAAGGTTTCTCTTGCTTTGATGTCATATGCGTCCCATCCGCTCTCTTTTCCTTCTCTTTTCTTTCTCTCTTATGATCTCCTTTTTAGTTTCAACACATACGCATGAGAGAGAGAGAGAGAGAGAGAGAGAAGACACACACACACATACAGAGGAGAGAGAACGAGAGAGAGGACGTAGAGTATGTCTTTCTTTCTGGCTTGGCTTATTTGGGTTAACATAATGATTTCCACTTCTGTTTTCCTACAACTACTACAATTTCTCTTTTTCATTAAAGCTAAATGACTTACACAAAATGGGTTGTGTATGTCACCACATTTTCTTCACCCATTTATTTATTTAGAGACAGGGCCTCACTATGTAGCTCTGGCTGTCTTGGAACTCACTATGTAGACAGGTTGTGCCTCGATCTCACAGATCCTGCATTTGCCTTTCGATGGTCATCTGGGCTGGTTCACTTCTTAGTCCTAAGACTAGCTCAGCAACAAACATGAACTCGCGAGCACCTCTGTGCTATGCTGATTCAGAGTCCTCTGGGTAATAACCAATTAAACGTGTTTTCAATTGGGTATTTGATCCAGCTTGTATAATCTGACTGCACTGCACGGAATATTTTCTTCAGGAGATGCTTTCTGTTGTTACTCTGGGAATGAGATCGACCTCCATTGTAATTAAAATATTTATCACTTGAGCCTCTGGGTTTGTGCTCAGCCGTCCTTTTGCTCCCTCACACAGAATGCCCGTTACATAACAAGTTATAAATACCCTCCTTCATCTTTTATGCATGGTATAATTGTTATGACTTAAGAGCATGACGCGGGTGTCACAGAGCAGATTTTGAGAGATGCCTTATCATGTGTGGAAGAAAGAAACCGGGGCCAGCAACATGGCTCAGCAGTCACAGGCGCGCCACGCCTTATGAAGGGAGTTCGATCCCCAGGACCAACACGGGAGGAGAAGAGGGCAGACTTCTACAAATTGTCCTCTGCTTCGGACCCTCCTCTGCTCAGGAAATAAACAAACAATGTAACAAAACTGTAAAGTGTAAAATAATGTAAAAAAAAAAAAAAGAGAGGGAAAGGAAAAATAAAATTCAGTGCAAAAATGAGGCCAAGATGCCTGGGCTGCATCCGAGTTTGCCCCTGACACCACCACACTACACCACCACATCACACCACCACCACACTACACGACCACCACCACCATCACCACTACCACCATCACCACCATCACCGTCACCACCACTACCACACCATCACACCAACATACGGCCATACCTCCATCTCCGCCACCACCACCACTAATCAGGAAAGAAAATAAAAGAGAGAAGTGCGTGCCACAGGAGAATCAGGATAAGGCTTATGCTGGCCATTGCTGGGACATCAGTCCTTGAAGTGAGAGAGCGAGTCAGGTGATTCCAAGAATGAGAAGATCCATACCGGGCTACATACAGGAAGCAACTGACACCAACTGGATTCTTCCTGATAACGTATGTCTTGACAACTGTCTTACATCCTTCAGGTGTTTGTCACAAGGTGCTCCAGTTTTATTGACCCACTGGAATCAAGACTAGCCCAGAGCCGGGTGGTGGTGGCGCATGCCTTTAATCCCAGCACTTGGGAGGCAGAGGCAGGCGGATTTCTGAGTTCGAGGCCAGCCTCGTCTACAGAGTGAGTTCCAGGACAGCCAGGGCTACACAGAGAAACCCTGTCTCAAAACCTCCCTCCCCCCCACAAAAATAAAATAATTTAAAATAAAATAAAATAAAATAAAATAAAATAAAATAAAAGACTAGCCCGGGGATAACAGATGAGCTAGCGGCCATTGAAAGCATTCATCATAATCTGTGGGGAGTTGAGGATACAATCCCTGACAGAGGCTGCACTTACAGTGGGCTGGCAGAGTGTCAAGAACTTACTTGCTTGGCTTAGAGTTGATTAGCATCATTTATGTCACCGATACTATTTTAAGTCCTGGAAACCAGGCAGAAGATAAGATAAGCTGTACCTTTTCCTCCTGGGGCCAGCTTTCTAGTACAAAAGATGAAGCCAGAAGAGGTAACTACACTCCGTGATCATTAACAATGTGTTTGGTCCTTCAGATAATAAAAACCCAAAACAAACCCAAGTCTGTTGGGAGGCAGAGGCAGGAGGATAGTTGCAAGTGTAAGAGCAGCCCCATCAGCTAAAGTTACCTAATGAGACTCTGTCTCAAACAAACAGAATAAACCAACCCCATGTTTCTGTAATATGTAAGCAACGGTAACAGCCTCTGGGAACAAGTTTTGCGTGAAACCTTCCGATGAGCTGAGAAGAAACCAAGAAACCAGTAGGCAGGACCATAAGGGAAAAACCAAAACCCAAAGCAAGCTGACTGGAAATAAAAGCAGAGACATGAATGGTTTGCCAACTGACAGCTTAATTTCATGGCTGTAGCACAATTTTTTTTTTTTTTTCGAGACAGGGTTTCTCTGTATAGCCCTGGCTGTCCTGGAACTCACTCTGTAGACGAGGCTGGCCTCGAACTCAGAAATCTGCCTGCCTCTGCCTCCCAAGTGCTGGGATTAAAGGCGTGTGCCACCACCGCCCGGCTCGTAGCACAATTTTTAAAGTTAACTTATCGAAAGACATCTTGGTTGCTCTCTATTCACCATCAGGTTAGATACACATAACTTCCTGACTCATTTTGGTAGGTATCAAAGGACATAACTGACGGCGTCCCACTGCAGATGGACATACGCTCCTACCAGCATTTGGCGGTTTTGGTCTTTTCAATTTTAGCGGAATCTTGTGGTTGTTTAAAGTTAGTGATTTAGGATGTTGCATATATTCTCGATAGATGCTTGCTTGCTGTCTGTGTCTCTTCTCGGTAAGTGCTATGCTCCTCTGAATATTCTAAGAATGAGTTTTTCCTGGCGTGGTATCACACGGTTTTAACCTCAGCATTTAGGAGTGCAGAGGTAGGTGGGTGTTTGTGAATTCCATATTAGCTTGGGCTACCTAATGAATTCTAGTTTCTTTCAGACTGAGAGGGAGGGAGGGAGTGGGGGAGGTACAGGTGGGGGTGGGTGGGTTTGTTTTAATCTCAGTACTCGAGAGGCAGAGGCAGGCGTATCTTTGAGTTTAAGCCAAGTTTCAGGTTGGCCATGGGGTGCCTACAAAGATCTTTATTTTTTAAAAAAGGAAAAAAGAATTGGTAGTTTTGTTTCTTTGTTTTGAAATAGCCTCTCCTATTTACTTTGAATTCCTGATCCATCTGCAGCGCCTCCCGCCTGAGTGCTAGAATTTACAGGTCTCTGCCACTGTGCCTGACTTTTTTTGCATGTTTTCTTAAAGTTTTATTTTAATTTAAATTTAATTTGGTGTTAGTTGTTTTAATTATAAAATATTCCATATAATTCTTAAAATGTAACGATTTAATAAGGAGATACCACTTAAACCGTAGAAGTATTTGTGTGTTCTGTTATTTTAGTCTCAGATAGACAGAGTACATAATCTAGTGTTTCCTGTAATACTCCTTGCCCTGTCTGTGTGTGTATGCTTAGGCAGGGTGCTGAAAGTAGGGCCTTCCACAGCGAGTTTTAAAAACACATACCCAAGTCTGGAAAATGTTCAATAAATTTACAATGTTGCAAATGCAGGAGTAGATTTCCCCCTTTTAAGTCTAGGAAGTTTGTCATTCTCCCAGACCTACTTGTTTTGTGACTTAAAAAGGTAATGTAGGCTCATTCAGAACAATGAGAGCATAAATGTGCGCTAATAGGTAATAAAGCATGTGACCATTCACAAATCGTTCACTTTGTCTTCAGCCCTTGGGAAGCCAGAAGCCAAGGTGAAAGTCACCTCCATTGTCTCCGTCATAAAAGGAAAGCGTGAGGGCAAACCAAATAGCTGTAGATGATCTGGTTTCCAATATTCCTCTAACAGACAGAGCAAAGCCTTTCTGATCCTGGAAGTTTCATGTAGCCCTTCGAGTCTCAGGACGCGCTGTGACTTAGCCCGACAGCGATCTATTTTTCTTTCCATCTCCCTCCTAGTCTCCACCTTGTTTTACCGGCTTTGACTGATTCTCAGCAAGGTCAGGTATCTGATCCTTAAAATGAGTGTTGCAGTCGTCTTACCCTATTATCCGATGACAAACCTGGAACTCACTATGTAGCTCAGGCTGGTTTCGAACTCATGGCAATCCTGCCTTAGGCACCTGAGAACTAGGACAACAGGTGTATGTCACCACACTACGGTCACCGGTTTACTCTCACCTTACCTAAAGTTTGTCCCAAATACTGTGATTTCTATGTACTGCCAAAGGGAACTTGGTTGCTAAACCAAGCAAGCATGTGGTTGCGCGCACAGAGCTTCAGGAACAAGACGACCAAATTAATCCAGCTTGGTCGGATTGTGGCCAAGCTCACAGCTTACATTTAGGGTTATTTCAGGACGTGCCTTCTGCGTCCCATAAGAACGTCAGCCCTAAGTAAGCAGAGCCCACGACCCTAGTGATCTAGGAAGGTGACGCTTCATTAACGCCAGTGACAGGGCTGGGTTAGCACTCCACGGCTCATCGGAAGCGTTCGAAAGGGCTCGGCAAAGCTCGACAGCGCTCCGGCAAGGCTCGGCAGAATTCGGTAGGACTCCGGGAAGGGCTCGGGCAAGGCTCGTTAGAGCCCGGCAGAGCTCGGCAAGGCTCGACAGTGGTCGGCAGAGTCCGGCAGGGCTCGGCAGCGCTCGGACTCCTTCGGGTGCAGGAGCCCAGCCAACCCTACAGTAGCGGAGTGCCTGGCGGTGCGCGCTCCCCAAGACCCCAATCCCCAAGAGCCCCGAGGCCCGCCCATTGTGCCGCGGGGTTCGCCACCCCGCCGGCCGCCTGACGCAGCCGAGGCTCCGCCCTCGGCGTGACGCTAGCGTCAGGCCAGTCCCGGCATGCTTCGCGGCTGCCCGCGGTCTAGCGCACTGAGGCATCTTCCCGAGAGCGGCCGTGCCTCCGCGTCTCTGCACTGCGCACCCCGTCCGGCCGCTTCGTCGCCCCCGCCGCCCGCCCGTGCGTCCGAGCGGCCGCAGCCCTCCGCCGAGGGCGCCCCGGGACGGAAGGGTCCAGCAGCCTGCCGGCGCCCGCCGCGCTCGTGGTCGCCGTCGCCGTGGTCGTCGTGGTCGTGTCCGCCGTCGCCTGGGCCATGGCCAATTACATCCACGTCCCGCCCGGCTCGCCCGAAGTGCCGAAGCTCGACGTGACGGTGCAGGACCAGGAGGAGCAGCGCTGCCGCGACGGCGCCCTGAGCCTGCTGCGGCACCTGCGGCCGCACTGGGACCCCCGGGAGGTGACCCTGCAGGTAAGGCCGGGCGGGCACCGGGTTTCCTTTCCGAAGCCGCCGCGTCAGCGACGCCTGCCCGGCTCCCGGGGATGGCTTCCGCGGCCCTCGTCATACTCGAGGGGCTCCTTCCTCTCCTCCCAGACCCCGCAGCTCATCCGCCTCCCGCGGTCCTCTTGGCTGCCCTCCCTCCCCTGCGCTTCCCTCCCATCCCTGCCTTATCCAGCCTGGGATCTTCCCACATCCTCCGAGCCGCGGGAGAACTCCATTCCAAAGCGGAATGACCGGGGGACCTGCTGCTGCCCACGCCAGGATGCTAGGGAACGCTATTTCGTGTGTTACTGGAAGGCTCGAGTTGGTGTTTTCTAAATTCGTAAAGTCTTAGAAGAATTAATGCTCTGGGTTGGAGTGAGCATTGGCCTGTGAATATTTTCGTGAGTCAGTGGTTTTAAAGACAGAAATCCTCAGGAGGAGAAAACCCTCCGACAATCTAGGATTTGAAAAAAAAAAAGAAGACACTTGCAAGTTATGACCCCCCGTACCCACAATTTATCTGGTGTGATTGGTTTTAGTTTTTTCAGTGCACAGCTTTAGGGATTACTAAGATGAATTTCCTATTTCCTTGCAAACAAACAAGCCAAATTAGTAAATTTTTAACGGTTTGGGTTTGTTTAAGATTTCAGCAGTAATTTGGATTATCCAAGCTGTCTGCCCCATTTTGATAACTCCAGTTCATTATGGGGTTTATACAGGATTTATTGATTTAAGTTTTTGGCCAAATTATTTTTTTAATATAATTAAAACATGAGTAGCCGCGCAGTGGTGGCACACGCCTTTAACCCCAGCACTTGGGAGGCAGAGGCAGGCGGATTTCTGAGTTCGAGGCCAGCCCGGTCTACAGAGTGAATTCGAGGACAGCTAGGGCTACACAGAGAAACCGTGTCTCGAAAAACAAAAACCAAACCAAAACAAAAAATTAAACATAAAACATGAATAGTGTTAGGCCCCAGAACAGTTCCTGGCACTTGGGCCTTTTATGAGTTTTAGTTTCGGTTCTTGCTAGAAGGGTTCTGAGCAGCTGAAAGGGACCCATATGTTTTGGGGAAGAAACTTGTTAGACAAAAGGCTTTGAAATTTAAGGCGTGCCTGTTGGCTAAGTATAGAGGAAATAGTCGATTCAAAGAGATTTTTATGTATAACTTGAAAAATTATTGCATTTCCTTTAAGGAAGTGTTCTTCCAATGGAGGCATGTCTATTTGTGTATTTTTGCAGTGCTGGGAAATGCAGTTCTGAATCCTAGGCTAGTGCTCACCGTGGTTATCTAGCCCTCATGTTAGACTGTTACTATATAGTAGATATTCACTTGCTTGTTTGAGAGGGTTTTTTAAAGTTTAATAAAGTCTATTTCTGGAAAGTATCTTGCTAATTAGAGGCAGTGCTGCTTCCTGGTGAGTTGCAGTGCTGGGCAACCCGTATTGTTTTCTTAGCTTTCTTAGCGGTGACTTTTAAAGTTTGAAGCTTGGAATTTCCTTTCACTTACTTGTGTTTAGAAAAGTGGTGATAGCTATTGCCGGATTAATATGCGCTGTGTGCTGGATTGGATTGAGCTCTTTTTAAAGTCATTATTGCCTGGGAAGTACTAGGTAGGTGCTCTCTCTCACGTCATGTGAAATTTAGTGAGGAAAGCCAGGGTATGTGTAAAAAAAGACTTAAAACTATTTTGGTTGCTTTGTAGGAGATCAGGTTGAATCATGATTTATATTTTCTTTCTTTCTTTCTTTTTTCTTTTTTTTTTTTGAGGCAAGGTGGCTAGATTGGTCGCTCAACTGGCTGTCCTGTTTTAGTGGAGTTGTAGGTTTTTGCAGGTTTTTGCGACTGTTCCTGTCCTATGTTGTGACTGAACTTTTAACCTTTGGGTTCATAATCTGAATGTATAGTATGTGTATTTGGCAGAGATATCACTCACTTGTAGAGTTGGTAATTAGAAATTCATCCCCTCCTTATGCAAGCAGAACTCTTGGATCTGAAGCCGAGCCATCAGTAAGCCAAGGCTACGGTTATTTATTACCAGCTCATAGAGGGACTCACACATATGGGGCACTTCAAACTAGTGATGCCTTGGGGCCTCGTTTAGTAATTCTGCTTTTGTTGTTGTTGTTTTTTTTTTTTTTTTGAGACAAGGTCTCACTGTAGCTCCATCTGGTTTAGAGCTGGCTCTGTAGACCAGCTTGGCCCTGGAACTTGCCTCTTGAGCCTTGGGCTTAAAGACTTTTGTCACTGTGGTCTGCTTGTTTTGTATTTCTTTCTCTCTTTCTCTCTCTCTCTCTCTCTCTCTCTCTCTCTCTCTGTATGTATGTATGTATGTATGTATGTATATTATATATGTGAGTACACCGTCACTGTCTTCAGATACACCAGAAGAGGGTGTTGGTTCCCATTGCAGATGGTTGTGAGCCACCATGTGGTTGCTGGGAATTGAACTCAGAACCTCTGGAAGAGCAGTCAGCGCTCTTAACCGCTGAACCATCTCTCCAGCCCTGTTTAGTGTTTCTTAATGGTTATAGTTTCTTTTCAAATTTCATCTCTTGAACTGTAAAAGATAATACTCCTATCTTGTTCCTGAAAGGGAAGCACGTATCCTATAGCCAAGAGACAAACGTAATTTCAGGTCAGCTGGTTATCAACACTAGCCTTTTTTTGGTATTCTTTCCCCTCCCCCTTTGTGTGAGATTCTGGGACTGGAGGCTTGAGCCTAGGGCATGCTATACAAGCTTTCTACTCCAAACTCTCACTGTTCTTTCTCCCCCAAACTAACATTTTTCTTGGCTGTATGTAGTGGAGGCAGGAAGATCAGGATTTCAAGGTTGTTCCTGACTTTACATAAGGAGTTCCAAGCCAGCATGAGCTACTTGAGAACCCTGTCTGCCCTCCAGCCCCCAAAAGAAAAATATATTTAAAAAATTTTTTTTTTTCCTGAGACAGGTTTTCTCTGTGTAGTCCTGGCTGTCCTGGAACTCACTCTGTAGACCAGGCTGGCCTCGACCTCAGAAATCCGCCTGCCTCTGCCTCCCAAGTGCTGGGATTAAAGCGTGCGCCATCACTGCTGGGCTATATTTTTATATAATATATTTTAGAAGCTTTTGTGATAACCCTTATCTTTCCTGGTAGTCACTCCTGTAATACCAACATGTGGAATATGGAAAAAAATAGAAACAGGCCCCAAATGACGAGACTTGATGGTTCTCTAAGAGATAGTCTCTCCTTCGAACTTAGGAGCAAGTGAGATTGGGTCTCATTGTGGATAGAGCTGGCCTATCAAGTAAAAACACTATAAGGAGGGGTTTCGGAGGTTAGACTTCTGAGTAGGTACAGCAGCTCTGAGACAGGACTAGCTAAATGTTTTCTGTTTCATGCTGCCTTGTTTTTAAATCCCTTCCACCCCAACTGTCCTATGAGGGAGACAGGCAAGGACTACAAATGGGTATTGCAGTTGGTAAAACTGAGCCTGTGTGTAAGTGACAGCTTTGGGAGGACTACCTCAGGATTACCGCTCTTTGACCTGGAAAGGCTGTGTGTATGTGTTATGATTGAGGCTGGGAAGGCATGCCTGTGCAAGGCTAGTTTCTTTTTTCTTTTTCTTTTTCTTTTTTTTCCTTTTGGTTTTTCGAGACAGGGTTTCTCTGTGTAGCCCTGACTGTCCTGGAACTCACTCTGTAGACCAGGCTGGCCTCGAACTCAGAAATCCGCCTGCCTCTGCCTTCCAAGTGCTGGGGTTAATGGTGTGCGCCACCATTGCCCAGCTGCAAGGCTAGTTTCTTAAACAAACTGGTGTGGCTCAGAAAAAGACAGCTTTGAGCGCACTTGAACACATTTGCATTTCCTTCCACGAGTGCTACAGTTTTAGAAAATGGCAGACTATTTGTCATGCAGCACTTCATTCATCTCAGTGTGAGTTTTTGATGCATCTACAGTTTTTGGGAGAGTTATAAGAGAACAAAGAGACTTGTTATCCCTTCCTGCTGTTATTTTCTTGGATCTTCCTGCCTCAGCCTCTCCAGCGATGGGATTACAAGTTATCAGATCAGTACAGTGCCTAGACAAAATCCTTTTCCCTTTGAAAAAGCTGACTCAGTTTCTTGAACATTTTAGTGGGTCACTTTAGGGCTTCCTTTGTGCATCAGTGTTTGAGCAAGATTGCTGTTATTAGCATGTCACTGGGGTCCACAGTAGATAATGAGAGAATGGCAAAGCTGGACAGGCTGGGAAGACCATATTTTTGTTTCAGATGATATAAAATTGACATCTCATCCAGCACTTTAGAGGCAGAAAACAAGAATTCAGTGAGCAAGTAGACTCATCCAGCTCAGGGTTCAGTGAAAGTTCCTGCTTTAATCCGTGTGGTGGAGCTTGAGGTAGACATCTGGCGTTAACTCTGGGCTTCCATACACACACTTGCATTATGCCTGCACATGTATGTGCCTTTACACATAAGAATGTCATTTTATGCACCTGTCTTCCCATTAAACCCCAGCCCCACTCCCCAGTGTCTGTGCTGTAGGATCCCAGGAAGCTTGCTTGAACATTGGTACCTTACGTCTGTTCAGTGTTTTGAGTAGCCGACTTAATAAGGGTGGAGAGCATGGGGTTGGGTGTGTGCCCTGCACTTCATTAGCTGTTTCACTGCTCGGGTTGTGTCCTTTCTCTTTTTGAGATAGTCGCTCACTGTAGTCCGGGCTAGGTTAGAAATTACAGGCAGTCCTTCTTCTACCTCAGCCTTCCAAATGTTGGTATGACGTATATGAGCTACAGAACATGCCTCATGGTCAAATTAATTTCTTTCCCTTCCCTAGCCTAGGCTGCCCTAGAAAGAGCTCTGTAGATCAGGCTGGCCTTGAACATACAGAGATCCACTTGATTCTGCCTTCCATATGCTGGGATTAAAGGCACGTTTGTCACCACTGCCCAGCTCTGGTCACATTTCTTAGCCTTTCTAAGTTTCGTGATCTGCAACTATAAAATG